GAATGACCCCAACAAGTAAGGGAGGTATCGCTTTAACGTAGATATTACATTACTTTAAAAAGTGCATTAAATAAATGAATAAATAAATATATATATATATTAAAGGTGAACAAAATTATTAGGAACAGAAAACTAAGAAGTTAGGAATGTGCTCATCTACATTATAAAAACTGGTATGAATGTATTACCTATGGACACACTTGAATTTCCCGCGAAAACACGCCGAAATTTTGGAGCAGGCTCAATGGTTGGTATAACGGTGTGGCAGGTTGTTGGAAATGGTTTTGAAAAAGAGGATGTTGTCAGTAAAAACGATGAACCAGATGCTTTGGTACTACTAGCAGGAATTCCAATGGAAAGCCGTATCCCAGCAAACAGAAGCAGGCTAGGATAATAGTAGAAGGGAGAATGGAGAGGTCGAGCCTTTTTACTGCCCATCGACAACCTATAATAATCTAAATAAATAATGTTGGAAAGGCCAGCATGCAAAAAGTTTCATGGGACATCTAATCTCATACAGCCGGTCTAAATTTTACAAGCTACATGGTCATTTACAAAAAAATTTCGTTCATGGTTCTCACCTAAGGGCTTATTTTTCTAGTTCATAAACCCAGGCTCACATTCAAGTTACTATTATTTACTCCACAGCAAAAGAATTTCAGGCGGAGGTACTGCTTATCGAATGATGTCAGGAAATCGTTTGTGCACATCCATATACCATTAACAGAACATGAATGCAAAAAGTTTTTGGCAACGTTCGGACGCACATCCAGTGCTGTCAATAATGCCATCAACGGTAAAATTCACTAAGCGATTTGGCAAACTTACTTGCCTAGGTGCGCTCTCTCCGGCCACTCAAACAATCACGCTTTTCAATTTTTCCATAGTCCTTTGCAACGTTCCTTCACAGGACTGTTTGTCATCGAATATGAGTCGCTTTCCATCGAATACTTTAGGCTGCTCTTTCAAGCAACCCGATCCTAAGATATAACAACATAGCTTGCTTCGCTGCCCGCACAGATTTTACACTTGCTCGGAAATGTGACCTTATCAAAGCGCTGGATGTGCAGCACATAGAAAGCCAACCTTAGGTACATCTTTAACGGTATAATACTGAGACAGCTAGCGCTGGATTTCCCCTTCTCTCGTTTTTTCCATGTAGTTAGACATACGCTCACCATACATGTTGCAAATTCTTTTAAAGCGGGACTTGTATATTGATGCAAATTTCGCTCGACAGACAATGGTTAATTGCCTCCAATAGCTCAAATCACGTTACATGTGAAATTGCTGAACCAGACGTGCACTAAGCAAATCTCAAAAGCGCCATGCGTTCAGAAATTACCGCTTGCAAATTGTGGCAAACGCAGCTTGCTACGTTTCTCCTAGGTATGCGAATCGATGGACCCATAGAGGGATTTAAACATTTTCTTTCAGTCAAGTTAGAGAGCATCTCCGTTTTATGTCTAACCACCAGACACAAAAAATATGCGGTATTCGTGCAGTGTTGTTCAAGTCTCAGCAAAATGTGAATTTCGCACAGCAGTCTCAGCCACTACAACTAATAACATATGCCGCCTTACAAAGGTGCAGCACTATCTATCTTTCCGACAGCTTTGTAAAAGACGGGCTCTCATGATAAAAGAAATTACATAACTTCGAGGATTTTCAGTTTACCTACAGCACTTGTTACGGCTTTTGCCTGACTTTAGCTACTGCGATTAAACTATTTTCAGACGCGACCTTTCAATTGTTTATGGATGACGGTTGGCGGTGTGTACAAATGGCATGGACGTAATCAGCGTGAGATGACCTGATACCTGACTTGAATGATTACAAATCTTCCGGTTAGGACATTTTCAGTTGTTCCAATACCTTTCAACAATGGATATCCCAGTTTATACCTTATTGTAACACGTGCAGCTCCGAACATCTAAGGGCGTCAAAGTCTTATTATCCCTCACCAGAAAGCAAGAGCTCTTCTCTCCAGAATGCTTTTAAGGCGACAATACCTTATCAAAGATAGATCGCACAGTACGATCAGCCTGTGGCGGTATCCAATTGACTTTACACTCTGACTTCCATTCTTAGTCATTATATTGGCGAAGTCTTTCGGCCTCGAACTATTATCACTTAAGCTAATAACTAGAACCAAGGCCTCTTTCACTCTTCATGATCGAGCACTCAAGCAAACTTGTTTTGAGCACTCTACTTTATTCAGAGTAGACATGCTAACCTACAAAAGTTGAAACTGAAGAAACATGGTTTTATCCAAAACGGCGATAGACAAAACGAACCAATGCATACACTTCTCAGCCCTTCGAGCCCTTCAACCGCAGGAAAGGCAATTTCTACTATGATATGGAATTACTAAGTTGCTCGCAACGGCTTGCCTTTCACTTGGTCCATAACAGGAGGTTATGATCATTTCGCAAATAACAAATGATATTAGTCTGTGCTTTTATAATCTACTATTCCGCAACTTCATAATTAGAAAAGGCAGCGAATAGCATCATTTACATCAAGGTTATTTCAAAAATAAGGATATCGAGTCCAAATTTTTCGTCATAACTCTTACAAGTTTGGGATATGTGCGGTATTAATGTTCAACGTACCAAAGGCCAACATCCCAAATAAGGCTTTTACATAACGACTCATTACGATCCACATATGTCGAAATTGTTATAAGAAAGATATCATTTTTAATCTTATTGGTCACGATTATTGCTCAAACAAGTGCGTTCGTGTGCTTAGCCCCAGGAATGTTTGTGATTTTACATTTGCATTTTCGAAAGCAGAGTTCTACAAAGTTTCACATAATGTCCTATCCTATTTCACCACAAACAGAAGATAAGTGAACGATAAGAAGTATAGCATTTCTTTTTAACTGACAATAGCATTAACCAGGAACAAATTAGCGAATTGAAAGGAAATGAAAAGCAGAGCTGGGATGTGAAAGTAAGTGTTCCTTCAGTGCAATTAAGCGTTTGTTGCTGTGCAGACTTGTAGGAAATAAATTAGCCATTTTTATTGTTGTAACATTTAGTGCTTTCAAAAATTTGATTTATATCGTCTGTCATTAGCGCACAGCGTATAAGCGTGTTAAAAGTATGCTTGAAGTTTAAGATCTAGTGTCAAATGATTGAAAGATAATGTTTAAATGTCCTGGGCACATTGGTTTAGCTTAAAATGTGTGTGGTAAATTAGAAGATTGCTACATATGTCTACTGTGCACAGGATTTGGCGTGAGGTCTCGGTTCCTCTGTTCTCTCTCTCAGGTTGGATTTTACGAAGTCTTGAAGTGAAAAGGAAGCGCTTTGACCTGATTATTGCTTTTTGAGATAGGTCAAGGAATTGCATAGAGACCATTTAGTATAGAGCAAAATGAGAAACAAGAAAGTGTCTGCTAGTCGGAGACTGATCCTGTGCGTCTCAGCCTTGAACCTAAATCTCAAATGGTATGGCACTTTTTCTATTATCAATCTTCAAAATTTTACATATAATTCGTAAACTCCTTTCTGCGCATCTTCTTCCCAAATTTGGAGGTCGTTCATTGGGTATTCGCTTTGAAAAACGAGCTTCAGTGAA